TATATATCGTCACAAACAGAACTGCCCGGTAAACCGTAGTATATATATATATAATTGCTGGAAGTTTTTTTTTTTTTTTTTTTTTTTTTGGGAAAAAGGCCGAGAATTTCCATTATCAAAGTACAAAAGGACTTTGAGGCCGGGAATCCTCAACAAACAACCCGGTGTAAACCAGCCACTGGGCTCTTGCCCAGCTTTAGTTTAACCATTCAGTAGGCAGCTTAGTCGACGCTAGCTGTACTGTTCCATAGTCATATTCCCGCCCTCTGCTCATCTTCTACCGATCCACTCCTACCCTCTACTGATGTCCTACCATGATCAAGCCTAAAACGACTTGGATTGCCCTGTATCCACCTTTTGACACTCCATCCACTCAACCAATACTTGAAAGGAAAAAAACAAAAGGAGCACAGAGACGAATGAAAAGGCCAAAACGAAACTAAGTACAATTTTAAAAAATTAAAAAAAAATAATAATAATAAAGAAAAAAAAAAGAAAAAAAAAGAATTAAACAGAAAAGAAAAGGAAGAAACAAACAATTGAGCCCAAACCCACTGCCTCTAACTGCCTGCCTACTGTGGCTATGGATCACCGAGTGTCCTGGTGAGAAACTACTGTACCTGCTTCAACCATGAGCACCATTCCAATTTAGTAATTTACCCTCTGAATTCACTTTTGCCAACCAGTTGGATTCCTAAATTGCTGGAAGTTGAAAAGTTACCTGTTCTTTGTTACTTAAAAAAAAAAAAAAAAAAAAACACTCAGGCCTGGTGGCACCGCACTGCGTGCCAAGCTTTGCCTAACTGCTTGTGGCACCTTCTTTTGTTTCTTTTCGGACTGGAACCGCCAGCCTCTGAAAGTTGAGGAATGAGCCATGAAGGAATCTTGCAGCGCTGGGGGCCGTGTACTGGGGGTTCAGCTCATTTGTAGAATTTGGCTTTGGCAGAAGAAGACAATTGGTAGCTGCCGCCCAACAGGGTTTAAGACACCTCAAGGATGATGGCAGGGGCCAAGTCCCACTACCGTAGCATGGTTGAGTTTCCTCGAGGCCTAAATCTGGACTTGTTTGAGGAGATGTGCAGAAATGGCGACGAGTTTCCCCAACCGCACATCTCCACAAAACACGTCCAGATTCAGGCTTTGAGGAAACTTGACACGGCTAGTGGGACTTGGCCCCCGTTCTGTTGTCTGTTGTGGATTATCTGGTTGGATTGAAATAGGATCAGGGTTTTTTTTTTTTTTTTTTTTTTTTTTTCCCTTTTTTCTTTCTTTCAAGCAATGAAATCAGATTGCAGAAGAAGAAGGGGTGCAGGTCCAAGGATTGAAGACACAGACGAGGTAATTCTCAAATGTTTAGCCGCGAACCTCCATTCTTTTGAAAAAAAAAGTCTTTCTCGATTTCACCTCACGCTACCTACCTACCACTACTACTAATTATAAGTCATACGGGGAACCCCGGGGCCAGGTCCCCCGCTTAGTACCCGAATGATCGATTTTTGGCCGCAGATTCAGAAGATCAACGACCAGAAGTCGAGGATCAGCGTAAGTGGGACCTGGCCCCCGTAGCAGCCAGAAGCGTTTTCACGAGAGAACATGCAAGGGCTGCTCCTGACCTGCAGGTGGGCGATACCGGCCTGGAGACAGGCGGTATCATTAGAGACCAATCTCTGTGCCTCCCCTCAGGTCCCTTCCCCGAAGAACATCAGCACACTCTGCTCAATGCCGATCGGGGGATCCTATCTCTAGGTGGCGAGCGCCAAACATGCCCAGGAATGTACATGAGGCCAATGGGGATTGAACCCACGACCTCCTCAATGGCACTTGTGAGCCTTACCAACTGAGCTCGCAGGATAGCAAAAACAAAACAAAAAAAAAAAACGAGCTCGCAGGATAGCCTCCAACCTCTACAACAGCCTGGACCTAAAAAAAAATTATAAATAAATAAATAAATTTTAAAAATGAAAAGAAAAGAAAGAAAGAAAGAAAGATTGTCCTTCGGGACATCACAGAGAAGGGTAAATTAGCAAATGGCCCCTCTGCACAAGTAAGGATGACACGCATAAATCGAGAAATGGTCAAAGAAAGAACAAAAGAAAGGAAGAGAGAGAGAGAGAGAGAGAGAGAGAGAGAGAGAGAGAGAGAGAGAGAGAGAGAGAGAGAGAGACGAAAGAACTGGTGAGGTAAGAGATTATTTTGGGCGCATGTCAGAGCGATTGCCCGGACGTGTTGGGGACTGATAGCAAAGAAAAGTGCTTTGGAATGGCAGGCTGTGGCGGTCTGGGTGCTCCCCCCCCCCCTCCATTGGTTTTGGACCTTTTGGCACCCCTACCATCCCCTCTTAACCCTTCTATACTGTCGCCCTTCTACTGCAAAAGACTGAACCCCGCTCAGATAAGCTTGAGAGAAAGTGAAGAGGGGTAGTTCATTTGATGTCGAGCTTCCCCTTTTGCTGTCGGCAGGCTGTCTGCATACATCTGCAGGGTGACCGTGTCTGTATGCTACGCTGGCTTGCCAATATTCCCCGCCCTCCGCAATCTCCCAAGCAGCGCGCTGCGGAAACGTCGACGACTGACCCTGGCTCGCTGATACATTTTTCACGCCAGGAGTGGTATCCTTGCAGACCTGCATCCTTGCCGGCCTCGATGTAGCGTCGCAGACTGGTACAGGTAGAGGCTGATGCGACAACGACGAAGGCTTCAAGGTAAGACATCAACGACCGATCTGCACAGGGCTACGGTGAAAAACGTCTCGTCGACCTCTCTGTACACCGGTCATGAACCTGAGCCTGTTCCTAGGAAAGGGGGACCATGATAAGTCGCAATTGAGATGGGTGGTGGTGGAACTTGCAGCGGGGTGGAAAGCTGTAGCGGCATCCGCCGAGCATAAGTTCTCACTGATCTGGGCCAAAGCTACGAGAGTGTCTGGAGCCGCAGCGGCAGCAATCGCGGCAGCAGGCAGAGGAGTTGGAGGAGGAGAAGGAGAAGCAGCTGCTGCTGCTGCTGCCGACTCGCAGGCGGAAGCGGCCAAAGGCGGGCGGAGTTGTGGAGGACCGTCGACTGGCTCGCTCGAGAGACACGGCGACTTGAAAAGCAGTATCATGGCGGGAGGGGGGGGTGCGGAAAGGGGAGTGACTTATGGCCCTCTTGTGGGGTCGATCTTCCTGTTCAATCTGTTCATCGGCACAGGCGTTCTAGCATTGCCAGCGTTGCTGTTGAAGGCGGGATGGGTGTTAAGCACAATATTTTTGATCATTGTGGCGTGTCTGAGCTTTGTGGGGGTGACCTTCATGATAGAGTGCATGGCTACTGCGAACGCCATCTTGCTGCTGAGGAAGAAGATGTCGCTGCTGCAGGGTCACACAGCCGAAGACGTTCCTCTCTTGCCCACGAGTCAAGGACGGGACCCATTTTCCATCGTCTTGCGAATGGAAATGGGTGAAATGGCCAACTTGTTCTTCAACGACGTCGGGAAAATACTCTTCTACTGCACATTGATTGCGTATTTTGTGGGTGACATCATCATTTACTCGACCGTTATTCCGAAATCCATCGTCGACTTCATTTACGGCCCCGTGGCACCGCCCTCCGCCTTCTTCGTCTACCTCGCCATTTTTTCAGCTTTCATCGTCCCCTTCTGCTTCTTTGACTTTCAGAAGACTAAGCCGCTGCAGCTCGCCACCATGGGCATGAGACAGGCAGGACTCTTGATAATACTTATCCTCTCTTGGAGAACCATTTATGAAAACGGCAGTCGTGCTCCGGAGATCCCAAAGGCCGCTCCTTCGGGGCTTCCAAACCTATTTGGGGGGGCGGTTTACTCGTTCATGTGTCACCACAGCTTACCTGGAATCATCACTCCTATAAAGGACAAGTCGCGCCTGTCTTGGGTTGTGGGCAGGACTTTGGCTACGGTGTTTGCTGTGTACATGAGTATGTTTCTATCGTGTGCGATCGCGTTTGGTTCGGCGGTGTCCGATCCCATCACGTTCAACTTCGGCCCCGACAAGTTCGGATTCGTCGGCGGGTTTCTCGTACTCTTCCCGGTCTTCACTTTGTCGAGTAACTTTCCGATGGTCGCCATCACTCTACGCAACAATCTGGACACGCTCTGGACTCTGCTTCAGTCCAGAACGGAGACGGGGGAGGCGCAATGTGACTCTCACATTCCTCGTACTGCTGGCTGGATGACGTCTTCTGCGGGAAATCTCGTTGCACAGATGGTAAGAAGCGCTCCTCCGAAAGGGAAGGGGAAGAGGAAGCTGTTGTTGGATTGCGAACCGGAGGGCGTAAACGCAGTTGACGATCCCGAACGACGGTCCGGAGATCGGCAAGGAGAGTGGTCGATCAGCCATGAGGAAGAGGAGGAAGAGTTCGCAGAACAGGTACTAGTCGATGCCGGTCATTATAACAATGAGGCCAGGAACGCTGCTGATCTTCGCCCCCGGATCGATGTCTCCTTGGCGCGCAGAACAGTGCTTACAATCCTGACCGTCGGCCCCCCGTTGGCTCTCACTGCACTCGCGGAAATGTGGTCGGTGGACCTCAATAGCCTCGTGGGCACAACGGGTCTTTACGCCGGGTGCGGGGTGATGTTCGTGATTCCGGCATGCCTCGTTCTCTGCGCACGAAGGGAGTTAGCAAAGGAATCTGCTGCATTTGCGCTTGAAAGCAACAGCAGCAGCAGCGCGGATTATGCCATAGCCGAAAGCTTCATCTCCACCAACAATCCACATGCGTCTCCCTTTCGAGGAACGGCCTGGGTGGCTGTGTTGCTCGTGTGGGCGGTTATTGCTACCATCTTCAACATTGTGCAGAAAATTCTGGATTTCAATCAGCGTTATCCCTAGCTGACCCTTCTTTTTTTTTTTTTTTTTTTTTTTTTTTCAGAATCACTGACCCTTCCAGTTTGTTCCCATTGTGAGAATTTCTGATCATTCCTGCACTGAATCATACATTCAGTACTTCTACTTGGTATTATGCAAGCATGTATCTTGCGAGCGTCTGTGGAAAAGGAATCTCCTGCATTTGCGCTTGAAAGCAACAGCGGCAGCAGCAGCAGCAGCGCGGATTATGCCATAGCCGAAAGCTTCATCTCCACCAACAATCCACATGCGTCTCCCTTTCGAGGAACAGCCTGGGTGGCTGTGTTGCTCGTGTGGGCAGTTATTGCTACCATCTTCAACATTGTGCAGAAAATTCGGGATATCAATCAGTGCTATCCCTAGCTGACCCTTTTTAATTATTTTTTTTTTTTTCAGAACCACTGACCCTTCCAGTTTGTTCCCATTGTGAGAATTTCTGATCCTGTCTCTTATACACATCTAGATGTGTATAAGAGACAGCTATTATGCAAGCATGTATCTTGCCAGCTTCTGTGGAAAGATTCACTCAGCTTTTTTTATCGTGTGTGCTTGGTTGGTGATGGTTATCCACTGAGCTGCGATAACCCATGTATCTTGCCAGCTTCTGTGGAAAGATTCACTCGTCGTTTTTTCATGTGTGCTTGGTTGGTGGTGGTTATCCCCTGAGGTGCGATGACCTACGTATCTTGCCAGCTTCTGCGGAAAGATTCACTCGTCTTTTTTTTCGTGTGTGCTTGGTCGGTGGTGGTTATCCACTGAGTTGTGATAAAGCATGTATCTTGCCAGCTTCTGTGGAAAGATTCGCTCGTCTTTTTTTTCGTGTGTGCTTTGGTTGGTGGTGGTTATCCACTGAGTTGTGATAAAGCATGTATCTTGCCAGCTTCTGTGGAAAGATTCGCTCGTCTTTTTTTTCGTGTGTGCTTTGGTTGGTGGTGGTTATCCACTGAGTTGTGATAAAGCATGTATCTTGCCAGCTTCTGTGGAAAGATTCACTCAACTTCTTTTCGTGTGTGTTTGGTTGGTGGTTATCCCCTGCGCTGCGATAACCACACACCAAGCTGCTCAGTTGGACAGCAGCATGTGAGATATAGGACCTCGCCGTACTACTCACAAATCGAAGAAGAAAAAAAATGTGAGTGCATCTTCTCACACAAAGTGACTAATTACATTCGTTACTATATTTATTAACACATGTATCTTGCCAGCTTCTGTGGAAAGATGCGCTCGTGTCTTTTTGGTGTCTGCTTGGTTGTTTCATCTCTTCTGAAGCTGCGATAACCACCCGTTGAGCTGCTCAGTTGGAGCTCAGCAAGAGCCAAACTTTTTATTATTATTATTATTTTTTTTTTTTTTTTTTTTTTTGAGTCAAGATCTAGGGCCTTACCACCAATTTCTACTCTACGATACGGAAAAAAAAAAAAATTAATTCCAAATGCATCTTCCCACAGAAGGTGGCAAAGTACATCCGTTTCTATGTATAGTACCACATATATGCACTCGTGTTTTTCTCCGTTAGCAGCTCAGTTGTTGTTCACAACCCAGCTTCTCCTTATAGTAACGCGCATGTATCTTGCCAGCTTCTGTGGAAAGATGCACTCGTGGTTTTTTTTTTCCGTTACCCCGAGGCCCATTCATTCACACTCGGCACTGAGCAGCAATTGGTGGTCCCCACCAGCTCGCTTGTTGTAAACAACCGACCCACCTTCTCCGTTATTTGTTAACAGCGGCGCTGCTCAGTTTCGACGAATCCGTGAAGCCGCCGGCTTGGATGACAAACGGAAATCTTTACGGAAATCTTCGGGCTCTTGGAGAACTGTAAAATTTGTTAGAATTTTATGATAGAGTTGAGCTCTTTTTTTTTTTTTTTTTTGTGAGCATGAAGTTTCATATATCATGACTAAATCCAAATTTCAAGAGAAGTATGGAAAAAAAAAAAAAARAAAAAAAAAAAGAGAAGTATGGAGCTACCCAAGAGCCTATAGCTCAGTGGGTACACTCATGAACTGTTGAAATACAGAGCGGACCCCAGTTTGAATCCAGATGAAGGTACTTGATGAGTAAAACCAAATATTTCTGAAATGCCAGGGCCCGGTCATCTCAATCATGATATCTCAAGGTTGTCGCCCTGTGCATTAGTGCTAGCTTTATATCCGGAGCTGCTGGGTCTCAACCATGCAGTAAAACCGGTGTAAAAAGACAATGATTTTTTTATTATTTTTGATTTTTGGGAAAATTTGTCTGGCGCCCCTGTATTTTCCATTTATTTGTGTCGCGCCCCTCCGACATGCGAAATACCCTGCCGCGCCCCTCTGACCAGTAGTGAAATGTTTCATAAACCCCTGGCGTCGTTTGGGCCTCTAATGTTTTTGTAGTGCCCCTACCGGTACCCACAACAAATTTGTGTCATGCCCCTACCGGATAGCCATTCGGAAAATTTCCGATATGCCCCTGCCGGTACCGTCGATCTTTTCACTGTGCCCCTGTCGCCGTTGGAGGCACTCAGGATCAACCTGACCGACAATAACCATGGACTGCTGCACCCCAGATCCGCCCTCGCATAGGCCGTCTGCCTGTCTGCTCTCTCTCTCTCTCTCTCTCTCTCTCTCTCTCTCTCTCGTTCTTTTTTTTTT